GTATTTGACAAAATGACAAAAATGCAGAAATTATCAATTATATGACAACAGGCTAAAAAATGAGTTATTATGTATTCTGGACTGTTGTTGAGTGTATAAAGATCGGGAGCCATTTGTATATTTTTATAGTTAGGATATACCGAAATGAGGACGGTTTATCAACAAATCGGACATTATGTTCCAAAATAGACATAGTTTAGTGGCCATTTCGTTGCCGAAATGTGTCTGGAATGTTTTTAAAGAGTGCAAATGAACATGATATGGAGGTAATCCTCATTGTAAGGACACATCTAAAACGCTCTGCAACACATGCTTATTATAGGTAATAAATTCTATCTACACAAGTTATCGAGGACAATGACTACATAACATACCTTAAGTCTACCCACACACATTAACGTGGTCAACAACTAAATATCATACCCAGGGTATTACTACACAAGTTATCGAGGGCATTGATTGCATGACATACCTTAAGTCTACCCACACACGTTACCTTGGTCAACAACGTAATATCATACCCAGGGTCTTACTACACAAGTTATCGAGGGCAATGATAACATAACATACCTTAAGTCTACCCACACACTTTACCGTGGTCAACAACTAAATATCATACCCAGGGTATTACTACACAAGTTATCGAGGGCAATATCTATATACCAATACCATCCTGAATCGTTCGCAAATAATTTTGAATTCGAAATAGTGTAACCGATCAGGCATGGGATTTGGATTATGGTAAAATTGATATCGAGATTTGCTTTAATCTAGCTCTCAATTCTTAAACATAACATTGGAAGTTATGAAGAAACTGAAAGGGCCTGTTTCCAGTAATGTTAATTCTCCATAGGAGCCNCTTCATATGAAAGTAACGTGTAAATATCCTAAAACAGTTTGATTTATTTGGCTTGCGTTCAATATTATACTTAATGATGCAGTATAAAACATGGGGGATTAAATGCATGACATCAAAGAAGTTGCTGATTTAAATCAATCATATCATTGAGTTTTAATTTCAAAGCAATTTACCAAGCATATTTATTGTTCGGTCTATCTTATAAAACGACCTAATTACAGCTAACTAATCATTTAAGGTCATTTAACGTTTGTGTGCTGGAGGCAGGGTATGTTTGATTTGGTTTGTTTTATTTTGTTTAACGTCCTATTAACAGCTAAGATCATTTAAGGATGTGCCTCCATGTGTGTAGTGTATGCGTGCTTCTGTGTGTGTATGCAAGAGACAGGATATGTTTGCCTCCTTGTGATAGCGCGGATCCGATGACTACTTTATAGTGCTATCTCACTTGAATACCATGCCGAAGGCACACAACACAGCATTCCTCCCCGGTCACATTATACTGACAACGGGTGAACCAGTTGTTGTCATTCCCCTAAATGCTGCACGTTAAGCAAAGAATAACAACTACCATTTTTAAGGATTTTGGTATGTCTCGACCTGGGGACAGAACCAATTGCCTTCCTCGCCTCGGCGAACGCTCACAATTAAGGCCAAAAGTGAGGTGTTGCCAATCAAGGCGCTAGGAAATATAAGGATGTTAGAAGTAGAAAGAAAGGTTAAGATCCCAAATATTCCAGCTCCCTTGGCAGAAGACACTGAAGAGAAACCCCGATTCTGCAGGACCCAACATAAGCCGTCTTTCTATGATACACTCCAGTGGGGTAATTCTTCGTTTCTTTAACGTCCCCTTAAAACAAGACTAGGGCGAAAGCGACCCCCGATTCTGCAGGACTTCACATAAACCGTCTCTTATGGTACACCTGCAGTGGGATCATTCTTCTTCAATGTCCCCTTAAAACAAGACTAGGAAGAAACCGACCCCCAGGTGGCCAACATCGTCTCCGTACGACCACGGCTGTTGCAAATTCAATTAACCCAGAACAAAACAACAAACAAAAGCGTACGTTTTCAATTACAGACGATTTAATCGACTTTATAGTATGAAGTATGTATATTGCAATCCCATTTGTGTTGAACAAGTTTACATGATTTTAAGTATTATGAGACATTTCTGAAATCAAGAACACTATTTATGTACCCAGGCGGTTATCATCATCCAGTAAAATAATTAAACAGAGCCTATTGATATTTATGTTCCCAGAGGTAATCAACATCGGGTAAAATAATTAAATGTCTATTCTTATGTAGATATCTGGAAACAAATGCGAATCCTAAATGAAGCTAACGAATGTTTTCGTTGAAATTGATACACGCTAATGCAAGATCACTGTTCTGTAATGAATAATATCCCATGACGACAATCAATGATACGTTGTATGTAGTGGCGCTGCAGTCGATACGATGTAGACAGAGCTGCACTGGTACTCGGTCAGACATGGGAACACCGCAGAAGATGACGGTTACACCACTCTTGTTTCTTTTGATATGGATGTGTCACATTCTGTTTGGTAAGTTAACCGCACTTACACAAATCGTGTTATCGTTGTTTATCAGAAAGCACTCGAGGGTTCGTTCTAAATTTTTTATATGTAGGTTTCCCCATATGTCTCTAGTTGTGCATGTTTACTTTGAGACTGACTGGACAACAAAATGGTCTATAGGCGGCCATCTTGGATTTTGATATTTGAGGTTTGTTTTTGCTTTTTAACAGAAAGTACATTGTACTAGAGAGGTATTTTTCTAATTTAATAAGTAAGTTACCTTTGGTCTTTAGTTGTGCATGTTTACCTTTTTACTGTTTTATAATTGTTGTACAATAACATTTGCCATAGAGGCAAATAAAATGGCTTTACGAGGATAGAGGTAATTCACAAGACTTCCGTTTATGATTTTCAGCATGGAAATTGCTCATAGAACCTTAAGGGAAAATGAAGAGCAAATAACACTTATATATTTCGTAGATCTGTTTAAGATCCTTTTATGGCGGGCGCCAAGATCCTTCTATGATCTCTTGTTTCCATTGCTGTTAAAATGTAGAATGAATTGCGTGGTAGTTGAAAATCGGAACACTCGAATAGGAAATGTTTGACAGTTCAAGGTTTGTCACAAGCATAAAAAGAAAGTTCATTTTTTATTTCGTAAAATGTAGGCATGTGTTATGGAGATATGACCTATGCTAAGTAGCAAGAGAACAACTGTCTCTCTGTATTCCTTTCTTCTTTCTGTGTATAACCGAAGTTAGATTGAATTGAAAATTACTTCCATTATGTTGGCGATTCCTTTTTAATTTAGTTTTCAATTGAAGTTTTAAAATCAAGAGAAAGGCATATCAATATCATCCGGATGTAGATTACATGGAAGAGATGCCAAAGGAGCCCTCTCTCATTTCCAGTTATTCTGAAACAGACAGTATCCGAAACGAGACGAGGCGACAGAAACGGCAGATTATGTTGTTCAGAATTTTAAGCCTCTGTAGAACGGATAACAAGTACAGAAACATATGTATTCGCTCTTTTTTTCTTCTTCTCTAAAGCAAGAATAATATGATTTCAGCAAGTTCAGAAAATAGAGGCAATATCTGTGAACAATTGTTATTCACGTTAATCAGATTTCTGAGGAAGGACATTCATAGGAGCAATTATTTTTGATTACTTAAAAATTGTTAATAAATGTGTAACATATAAGTTTAAATTTGATTTGTACTTGCCATGCGATAAGGCGGTGTGATGCCTCCCTGGGGAGCATACAGCCGGTGCTGCCATTTGGGCGCTTACAGCTAACATTCAACAGTTCTAGCACTGTCCAACCACATACTCCTTAGAACACATTGCCTTTATAACTTTCTGTTGTACAGCCAAAAGTAAACTTGAGGCAATGCAGGCTTTATATTATTGATAATAATTCGAGTTTCTTTTATACTGCTTTATCACAACCTAGTTCGTAGGTCGTCTCAAAGCAATTCACAAATTATTATCCATGGTTATAGGGCCGTTGCAACCAGCCAATATCGTTCTCAACTCCTTGGGGAGCATACAGCCGGTGCTGCCATTTGGGAGCTTACAGCTAACATTCAACAGTTCTAGCACTGCCCAACCACGTACTCATTTACAGATAAGTAAACTGGAACAAGCAGAGTAAAGTATCTTGCTCAAGGATACAACACAGTGCCGTGACGTGACTCGAATCCGCAACCCTTCGGTCACGAGTCCGGCGTCCTACCACTATTCTACCGTGCCTTCTTTATGAAGAATGAGTATCAATAGATATGAAACGCCATAAAAAAACCACCCAGTAGATCCTAAATGAAGATATTATTATACTCATCTCTGGAATAAAGAAGATGATGCATTGGTCGCTCTGCGTCTGGTTCCTACCCTCGAACATCCTCATGTGGTTGTATTTATCCAGTCTAGCTCTGAAATTCTTCGAAACGGTCAAACTTTTAAGTCTGCAGGTGTTATATGATGCTGATTTCAGGCAAAATATTATACAATTTCATGAGACTATTTTTGAGTTTCCATGAACTAAGAGTAATGTGTGTGTGCGGGAGCTTAAATGATAATATCCGTTCGCATAAATGACATTATCCGCTCGCATATGAATGATATCGTTTTTGTTATGAAAAAGTGCTTGAACATTTTACAAATAACGAAAATAGTCTAGAAGATTGTGTTACGCTACAATATGATAATAAACAAATATATATTATATATATAAATATATTTATTTCAGTTAAGCATCACCAATGAGTTCTAGAAGGATGAAATAGCAGTACGGTGCAGTGATATTCCTTTTTACATACTGTTCCTTTACAATATCTTAACGAAGCAGTCGCATGTTTTGTCTGCTTACGTTCATTTTTAAATTACCATACCATTTCTTTTTGTTTTCCTCGTGAAATTGTTCTTAGATGATAGTAAAAAAGAATTATGTTAAACACCACTTTAAATGTTCTATTTTTTTCTGCTAAGGATTGTGTTCCAATGGCAACCTTGGAGTCGAATATGTTATTGCATATACAGAAAATGAAAAGAAAAACAACCGTCAAGAAAACGAAGCTCCGGTTTATCCACTTGAGATGTTCGTCCTCCCGGCAGGTGTCGATCCAGTAACCGTTGACGTCACAGCACCTTCGTTTTCATCAAATGTGCTGTCACATCACGTTACGGTAAACAGTGATGCCTCTATGAAGCTCGAAATCGACATTTCATTGCAACTGGTGGGGAACGAACAATCTTCTAAAGGAATCCACGTTCAGGCCAGCGGAGATATAGTGCTCTTAATTATCAACAGACAAAAGTTCACTAGCGACGGGTACCTAGCTTTGCCAGTTCATGCTCTAGGCAAGGAGTACTACGCCGTTTCAGAATACCCTGATGATAACTGCCAATTTGCTATCGTTGCGACACAGGACGGGACGGTTGTTGATATCACACTTTCAAACAACAAGAACGCGAAGTCTGTGCAGTTTGCCGAAACTGTGCACATACCTGGCGAGACATTTCAGGTTACTTTGGACAAATTTGGCACAGTGCAGATACAAAGTGATGGCGATTTGACAGGATCTTATATAAGTTCCAACAAACCTATTGCTTTCCTGAGTGGGAATCGACGAACCATAGTTGACTCGGGATTTAGCAGTGATCATTTGGTAGAGCAGCTTTTCTCGGTGGATAAATGGGGCAAAAAGTACAATGTTGTCCCTGTCCCTGAAAGAACAGTTGGCGATTTTTTCAAAGTTGTCGCTAGTGTAGATTCCACATCAATTGATGTGGCTTGTCTAAAAGACACTGACAGCTACAACACGGTTGTGTCACTTGTGAAAGCTGGAGACTTCGAAATGTTGCATATCAAACCTGGGCGGTATTGTTCATTCAAGTCAAACAATGCAATAATGGTTATTCAATTTGTGCTAAGCCAGTCCAACAATAAAGACAAGCACGATCCATCTATGATACTGATAACCCCAGAAGAACAATACCTATCAAATTACATGTTCACAACACCAAGAATTACTGGAGGCAGCTATGAAAACTTCTTAATGATTGTTGTGAAAACCAATCAGAAGTCTGGGCTTCGATTAGACGGGAACGAGCTACCCGTAAACACTAACTTCCAAGACATCCCGGGGACAGATTTGGCAGGCTGTTATATAACGGTAAACGACGGATACCACAATATTGGCCATGTGTCTCCTATAGCAGTTTTCTCTGGGATCCTCTACGGGCGGGCTAAGTACGAGAGTTACGGGATATCTATTGGACTTCGCCTCGGACCGGTGAATCTGGTTAGTATGACTCCATAGACTTAATACATTGTTTGTTTGCATAAAAGGACTGTCAAAATATTTAAATGAAGGACAAGATATACAGTAAAAAATGTAGCATGTAACTTGTCGAAACAAATGGCTATGAAATAGGACTACTTCAGTAATTGAAGTTAATCAACATTCAAGGCCATCGCTTAAATAGCCTCCCGAAAATCTTACTAACTGCTCTTTTTGCTAGCATGTTATTTTTTGGAATAACACATAATTCTACTTCATACAATTGTAACAAAATTAAACCAAACTGAACCTATCAACAACTTAGGTCATTGACTTAATGTGTGCAGGAGGCAGGTTATGTTTGGGTTATTGCCTCTTTTTGATAGCACGAATATGATTCCGACTTCATAGTGTTATCTCACTGAAATGAAAGACAACCTCTGCAGCACAGGTACACACATGCACGCATACATTACATATATTGAGGCACGTCCATACATGACCTTAGATGTTGATAGGACGTGTAATCATATATAACCAACACTTTCAAACGCTTAATGTGCACACATCAAGGCAGGACGTTTAAAACAAACTATAATATTTTGTTTAATTTTTTTTTTAATATTTTGTTAACCATGCAATGGACTGGTGACTTTTTCTGCGTTGATGGGTCGTTTTGAATGCAATGATAATGATTATTCTTTTCAGCCGTGTACACCTTCGGTCACTGTTAATGGTGACGGGATAGACAACGACTGTGATGGCCGAACGGACGAGGAGTTGTGTACACCGGATAACAACCAAAACGGTAGGGCTCAGAACGGTGCACAACAGAAATAAAATCTGATAGTTCAGCCCCAAGTAAATCAAGTATTGCACGATAATCAATAAGCTCACAGTGTATCGGTTCATCTTGCAATTTCCCTCCCTTATAATTATATGTCGCTGCAGTATGTGTTGTTTGCTGCATTTCTTTTAACAAATAATGCCTTATTGTCACCGAATACAAATTACAAAATTGCAATTGCGTTTTATGAAAAATCGAAAAATAATAATCAAAATAACAATAATCTGTCCTGATTCGTTGTCAGAACTACATATGGAAAATTGGAACTTTTAATCACATGCAGATTTTTTTTTTTTTTGGCATAAACATGTTTTTATAGTTTGTTAACTGTTATGCAAAATTGCATACCCGGTCATGTCGGAAAACCTGAAAATGTGACTGAAACTACTGTATAGTTGTTATTATTCAGGAGGGTTTTGATGTTGCGAATTTCGCGAATGCATTAAATTCGCAAAAAAAAAAAAATGAAAAATGTAATACAGTTTATTTGCCATCAATATAATAGTTATAAATAAGAATGATATATGATTAATTTACAATTAATTCGTTGGCTATTGATTTGTTTAACAGTGATGGTTAACAAAAAACACCAATGCAATGAAACTAAACATTGTATTAGTACCATCATAACAACTCTCAGGCGTAATTTGTTTTATTTCTGCATCGCATTCGCGGTGACCCTTAAGATATTTTATGTTGTGGGATTCATTCTGATTAAATCAGTGAACATGATTCATCTTTTCATGCTACGACTGACCGGAATTTCATTTTAAATATACATTAAGTTATTCGCCAATGGCAGGTAGAACAGTTTGCTTACATTGTTGTCTTAACTATATACATCTTTAAATCGTTCTGATTTTGTAAATCGAGGTGGCATACCATTGTTAACTTTCAGGGAATAACCTTTTGTTCATAAATATTCGTTTCACGTGTACTATTATCTTATCTATATATTTTATCTGTTTTGACACTAGATGACGATGGCGATGGAGTGTCAGATGAAGACTGTGTTCTTCCTCCGCCTGGTGAGTACAAAACATTTAATTATTCTCATAAAAAACCCATTTCAACTCTCTACAAATACAATTTGTGTCATAGTAAAGACTTTTTTCCCGCTCAATTTCATTCTCATATATTACATGATACATCAGGATTTGCCAAATATTAAAGTAAACAAAATATCGAAACTGCAAAATATGATAAAACGGAACTGAACTTTCTAATTATTGCTAAACCAGCTCTCGAGGGGGTCGCATCACATTGACTGTAAGATAGATATCAACTAAAATAGATTCATGTTGAAAATGCAAGTCATTAGAACCACACAAACGTCCTGCTTTAGAGAAATTCTAGTACAGGAGGAGAGAGCTTAATTTTATTATTTCGAGTGACATGATGCAGTCAAAGTTTATATTGCTTATAATCTTTTTTACATCAACATTACACATATTACAAGTAAATAATTATTCTCATGATTTTTGCTGATTAAAGGCACTAACCGGCTATTTGTATCAGTGCCTTCTTGTATAGTTTATCAGGTGACTATCAAGAGACAGCATGACACATCTTTCGGGAAATCTTGCCAGTCCATGGGATTGTTAATATTTGTCGAGCGTTTTCGCGTAGAATTGTCGAAAACTGTCCTTCTTTTTATATTTTTGGATATAAAATTCACAAATGTTTTTAACTTAACAAAGTTTGAATAAATTGGAGTTTATTATTAATATTGATGTAATGTAATGGATTATTCTAGGGAGTGACACGTTTGCCGTTTTCGAGAAATTTGCTATATTCATACCAACTCCATCCTTTAACCCAAACCTGCAACGAATTAGAGGGATATTTGGTAGCAGCTGCCTGTTCGTTAACCGACTTTAGCAAAGCGTTATTTACCGGATTGAACCATTTTATGGGTGCGCGCCTGATGTTTAAATATTTTCTGTTTCGTTTTGAAGCCTAAGTTTATTTCAAATCCTGCCAAGACTTTTTGTCGAAACAGCAATATACGATGAAACATTCACGGTGTAATATACATTCTTTACGTTTTACGTCTATTACGATTCAAGATGGCCGACATGGTCTGTTGCTGGCTGGAACAATGACTGATATAACTGGAGTTTAATAATGCCGACTTTGCTGATACCTTGTGGTAGTGAAACATTGAGAGATACTTCATATTAAAAGGGCGTCTTTTTGATTTCCGTATTCAATATGGCCGCTATGGCCTCTGATAAGCTGTTCGCCTGCAGAATTGAGAGTTTTTAAGAGCGGCATGCTTTGATGGATGCATCCGGCAAGGTATTTCAGTAAGATAGAACTTGATCCATGCTATCACAAGAAGGCCATCACACCAATAATCACTGCCTTCGGCACACATACACACTTACACACGTGGAGGTACGTCCTGAATAACCTTAGCTGTTGATGGGGCGTAAAACCCTTTACAACCACCCCACCAGCACATTTAAAAGCTTACGATTCACACATCAAGGCAGGATGCTTAACCAATTAAAACCTTAAAACCAACAACAATTTAATGCATCTTCTTCTTAGATGAACTAAAGTTTTTTTGCCGAAAGTGTCACCTACAAACGAACTCTGTTTAGTTTAGACGTTAAAAAACCTCCATTGGTTGAGTGGGCTGTGGGTTTAAATGTACTAAAGGTGTTGGTTTGTTGTATAGGGTTTAATATCCTTTCAACAGTCCTTTACAATGAACCAGCACTAAAAGTACATGTACTCACAGAACCATTGAATGTTTTAACGTCTCGGCCAACCACAGTATGCTTTATGGCTTCGAGGTTAAGTTGTGCTTTTTATATGTATATGGTACAAAGTCCAAAACTTATGCAGCAAAACAAGTATTCAAAAAAAACAGCGTCATTTGAATATTAAACAGTGTTTCTTTCACTCCAATTCACAAATGAGCATTTGTCCTCGGCACGACGTTAACTCCTACGCGTATAGGGTTTGTTTTAATGTATCATGAATAAAAAGGTTAATCACTCGAACCTATTGGCTCCACATTACTTGTCGTTGGGCCGATAAATAATACAACATTAAAACCTAATTATCTCGAATTGCTTATGGTAATAGGCCAATACTTATATCATTTATCTCTATATAATTTAGCAATGATGTCTATTGTTAAAAAATGCTAGTCATGTTAATTATATCCAGTCACGGGGTACATTTCTTGGCCAATGGCGTCTAATTGATGAAAATCCATTTATGCACGATTTTTTCTTTTTTAATCAATTAAATTAACATATATCATTATGGCAAGTTTTAATTATATTTCCAACACTTTACTCATCGACGTCTGATTCCTTCGAACTATTAACAGCTTAGGTCATTTATGGACGTGCCTTCATGTGTGTAATGTACAAGTGCATGTATGTATTTGTGTTGAAAACAGGTTATGTCCTTTCGATATAGCGGATCTGATTCCGACTTTCGAGTACTACCTCACTGAAATACCATTCCAAAGTCACAAAGCCAAGTGTCCCAACCGGTTACATATACTGACAACAGGTTAACGAATTGTTGCCATTAACCCAAATAATGAACACAACATATTGCCGTCCTCAATAGGGCGAACGTACGACACTAAGGCCAAAAATGATGTATTACAAAGCCAGGCATTAGGAGTCAAAACGTTTGTTAGAAAGTAGAGAGAAAATATATAGATCCCGAATGTTGCAATGGGCACAGCAGATCAATTTTCGTCTCTTTAATGGCCAGTTAGCAGAAGACAAGGGATGTGCAGGAGGCTCCATATTAGTCGCCTTTTGCGATACGACGTGGGATACTGCAGGCATTTTCTCTCCCCGGGCCTGTACGGAGTGAAAACTATTGGACTTATAACGATTTTTAGCCCACCATCATCTGATGGTGGGCTATTCAAATCACCCTGCGTCCGTGGTCCGTCGTCCGTCCGTCCGCGTCCGTCCGTCCGCGTCCGTCCGTCCGTCCTTAAACAATTCCTGTTATCGTATCTATCTCAAATTTTATATGTAGGTTCCCCTTGGTCCTAAGCTGTGTAGGGCAACTTTTGAGACTGATCAGATAAACAACATGGCCGACAGGCATCCATCTTGGATTTTGATAGTGAAAGTTTGTTATCGCTAAATCTCGGGAAGTATCAGATGGATCTTTCTCAAATTTTATATGTAGGTTCTCCTTGGTCCTTAGCTGTGCGGGAAACCTTTTGAGACTGATCGGTTAAACAACATGGCCGACAGGCATCCATCTTGGATTTTGATAGTGAAAGTTTGTTATCGCTATTTCTCAAGAAGTACCAGAGGGATCTTTCTCAAATTTTATATGTAGGTTCCCCTTCGTCCTTAGCTGTGTTGTGCAGCAATGCCTGAAATGGACTGTATCCCGCTTGCCAATGGCGATTAAAGTCTTGCTCGAACGACCAAAATTTGTCAAAAGTGAAGTAGTCACTGGCCCAACAAAAATAGTTTGGGTGACTGTTGACAAATTTATGAATGAAAGAAATGATAGTTCCTTCCACATTAACTGGGAGGCAGTACATTTTTCAGTTGTCATTACTTCGATTTGAATAGAACTGTCCGTGATTTAGAAAATGTGATGATATTTTTCAGATTTTCTATATAAATACAGCCAGGGTGTATTCTTTGAGGTGCGAGTTTGTGTATTTTTTTGGGAAACAGGTTTTAGCTAGGGTTGAAGAATTAAAAATATAATGTTTTATTCTGTTCTACATATTACAAACATAGTCATGTTATATGTTATTTAAATGTGCTGAAGCATTGTGTTAAATGCTGTGGAAATATTTCTCCACAAAATTATTTCGGCCACCAATATGCCATTTGGGCCAGTGCTTCAAATTTTTTACTCTCCCCAAAAAAATGTTTTGAGCCAGCCAATCCAGGTTCCCCACTATCCTTTATTGTTCATGTTTACTTTTGAAACTGACCAGTTAAACAAAATGGCCTACCGATAGCCATCTTCGATTTTTGATATTATAGGTTTGTTAGCATTATTTCTCAAATTTGCTATGTAGGTTCCCCTTGATCCCTCTTTGCGCATGTTATATTTTGAGACTGATCATAAAAACAAAATGGCTAAAGGAAGAACTAAACAGATCTTTCTCATATTGCAATGATCGATTCTATATCTTTCACATTAAGTACTGTACTAGTAAATATGTGAAATGACAATCTCACTTTGAAGGTTGACTTTAATACACATTAGTATTAAGTTTAGATCAAAAGTTACATCAAGGTGCATTTTCTGTTAACATGACTCGATCAAACAGATTAGAGGAAAGAAGAGAAAAGATCGAACTGACAAAAAACTAATGAAGCTGGTACAATGGTGGGCGCCAAGATCCCTCTGGGATCTCTTGTTGAGGTTTTGATTGACACAATTTTATCAATACAATTGGATGTGCTGTTTCACGTTTGTTTAAATAGATTATATTTGAACAAGCAAACTTTTGCAAAAACAACATTTTTTCACCTATATTTCTTTTGGCAGTTCATGGAGTATGGGAAACGTGGGAAGAATGGTCCGAATGTAACACGACGTGTTCCACCAGCGGTTCACCAATATCTCACGGAACGAAAACAAGGCTGCGGAACTGTACTGGTCCTATGTATGGCGGGAAACAATGTACTGGTGCCGGTGAAGAAACAGCAGATTGTACCTTATCATGCCCAGGTAATCTTTATTATTTGCTGCATTTGTAAATATTTGTCATGCAGCTGTTTTCTCTCACCTTTTAGATTGAATGTCTTGTCACAGTATATAAATGCATACGAATGTGTTTGATAGGTTATCATATATTATATAAACTAATTGAGTCATGTGAGAAAATTAAGCAGGTGAGATTCGATTTCTGGCCAATTTCCCCCCCTCGTATACAAGGGAAATCTTTAAAGATACATCACATGAAGAGCCATATTTTTTTTTAATGAATGTATGTATTGTATGCACTTCCACTTATGTTACCTCGCTATTCCCATATTCATAGTCCGTTCCAAATGTCCAGTTTGACCACTTGAATTGTTTGGGAAAGCCCTGCTAAAAATAGCGCCGATAACGTCACCTGACTAGGCAGTAAACACATGTGGTCTGAGCGAGATGAAACGGTTTCCAGAGGGCCCCCCAGAGAGGGGCCGTCAGGCAACTGCAACTTCTTACCGCGCTATGCAACCAAGTAATATGATTACTAAGTCCATATTCAAACTTATTGAACAGTAATCATTCATCATCAGAAGTTAATTGCACGCTTGCCAATATTCAGAATTTAAATTGATTTAGCTTTAAACATATTTGTTGCCAATAAAATTGAACAAGGGATGGGGCACAAGTTTTTACAATTTATCACAGCCTTCTCCCGTCATACATTTACAATTAAATGTCAACAATGATAATAGGCATAAACATAAAGTAGATACTTATAAATATATATTGAATTTAGTACCGGAATGTGACCGGTACAGATGGTACGGGGCTAAACACCTTCCCTGCATCAAGGGACAAACCTTTCTGATTGTTTTTTATATATTGCCGGGGCAGAGGAGGCCGGGTATTCATATAAGTACTAATTTAAATCTTGCATGTAAAAACAAAAGTAATCGTTTTATTCAGCAATATAATTAAATCATACCATTTAACTGAACCCGGTAATATTATAAATTATGTAAATCTAATAGCGCACGTATCTCGATAACCCAAAAAATACGCCGTGGGCCATCACAACAGTTATCCCTTGGAGGGCCTCATGGCAAAATCAAACTAACCAGTCACTTATCTCTTCCTTTCGCATAAACCACTGTTTAAGTATAGAAACACAAAGTAAACTCTCTTCGATACATGCCCATTAACATATTAAACTAAGTTCATCTGTGTTCAAACTCAGACAAAGATACTAGCGAGCTTCATAGTTTTAGATATTTATTCATAACATAAACAGCGCTAGCATTTCTGTCGATTCCATTTCAGCTTAACTGGAAATCCGGAAGAATACATGCACCGTACTAACTGTTAGGGCAGTTATTTTCTCCTTTGAATACTGCCCACCTGCAATAATGATTCCGAAACGTACTCATTGCGCTATCTTTTGAACATTTGGCAACTTTTCGTTTCGTAGCTGACATGGTACAACACTTTTTTTCGCTTACTTCACACGGCCAGTCATTTTGTTTACAAAGAAATGGTTTGTATGCACATGCGCTAGTAGAGGGAAATCCCTGAACAAAGCGTTGGTCAGACAGGTAGAAATACCGATGATTTTCTTAGATTTATTCATTTTTATGAATCTATTTCAGCCAAATCCGATCGTTATTTTCCACTTGATATGTTTATGAAGTATTTGAAACAAAGACAAAAAATAAAGATACTTCACTGTGATGCCCCTTTAAATGAACTTGAAAGAGTTGATACTGAATAATTCCAGATGGATGTCTGGCGGCCATCCTGTTTTGAGCTCAAAGACCCAAATATAATCCTCTGTGTCTAATATCACCCCTGTGATGTGACATAGAATATATGTGAAGTTTATTTATTTGAACAAAGTTTGTAGCCCGTCATCCCAGCTCGTCAACATGCTTGTTAGAGGTTTATCAAGTCAGTTCAAATTAAACCTTTTAACAGTTTCTTTTGAACGCATTATAGTCAAAGGTATAGCTGGTTTGCCAGTAGATTTAGTTTTGTCCACTTATAAGATTACACGTTTTGGATTAATACCAGGTTAGCGATTCAAACCCATTTGGTTTCATGTTTTTCGATCCGTTTCTAAAACATCCACAACTCATCGCCAAGAGGAACTTGCATATGGAATTTTCGAAAGATATTTTAAAAACAAGCACACTTTATAAACGCGTATTTAGCGCAACGTGGGATTGATAGAATTGAATATGGATGCTTACATATCAATATTTATATTACAGTCGATGGGAACTGGGAAACCTGGGAGCCATGGAGCGGTTGTTCCATGACCTGCAATCCGTACCAGGGATCAACCCTCCGAGTACAAGGAAGGCGTACAAGGTCACGGAATTGTACCAATCCTACCCCTCAGCATGGCGGCGCAGACTGTGATGGCAATCCCGAGGAATCCGAGTATTGTCAACAAGACACTGCATGCCCTGGTAAAAAAATATAACCAAACATTGATTTTGTTTTTGTTGATACGGACTTTTAGATTTTTAGCTCTAACAGCAGAATAGGCAAATCAAGATGGCGTCACAAATGATCGGACCACGGAGCTGTAGGATGTCGGCTTGTTTGTCTTAAATTCGTAATTTCAGTAAATGTTCTAGAATCATAGATGGGAAATGATATCACTATGTAATGTTTTAAAATATATTAAGGTTCCAAACAGTCGATTTAAAGATCGCAAAGCGGTTGAAAAAATCAACAATAGAGTGCTCGGCCATTTATTTACTTCACTGGAAAGCATTTAGATTTGTTAGACCTGTTTGATTATCCATTAATGACCCATTGAACCTGAATCAATATCGAAAACTTGTCAATAACAAAAGTATGTCGTATTCGATAACGCCAAAGAAATGAAGTCAACACAACATAAAAACAAGATGTGAGCACTTCCTCGAATCGTTTTATCGAGCAAATAATTTTACTTCTCATGAAAACGATGCAGCGTGAGTGTTGGTGCCGAAGACTTCACTTGAACTGCGTTACGGTTTACTCTGACCGTTGTTCATCATTAATAAAATCTAGCTTACATATTTACAACGATTAAGTACTGAGGGTTTGGTCTACAAGAGTTCTCTATCGTGTGAAATCATAGATATAATATAGTTATATCATGTAACATTCACAGATACAGATGGAAACTGGGGTTCATGGGCTAAATGGTCAGATTGCCTACGATTTCGCTTTCGGTCATGTGACAACCCTGCCCCTTCCACAACCGGGAACTATTGCGTTGGACTTGGGAAGGAATCTAATGCATGTACCACTGCCACACAATCAGGTAACTTTTTATGCAATTATGACAACACTTTATTTATCACTCATTTTAGTAGTTATATACACCAGATCAGTATAGAATGTATGTTACATGTACACTTGAATGAATAAATCGGTATTAATACAGTGTATGTAATATGACAAAGTCATTTGAACATTAACTTTCATGAAACACAGTAAAAATAAAGAGATGCAAAAGCGTCAATATGATTGAATTACACCGTACATTTACAGAAAAAAGCGCTTTCTCTTTCTTGATAGAATCATCTTGATTTCCCCAGCTAAAATAGTATTCAAGAGATAGACCGAAACATTAAAATTTCAATGAGATATATTCCGTCTTTGCGTATTGCAGAGTTATCTTCTCTTGGGAACAGGTATTGATTGTTACGTCATTGGTTTGTGCGAGAAAATTTCGTCGTTTTCTCAAAAATTGATGATGTTACTCTCCAAACAAGTGACGTAACAAGCAATACCTGCTCCCAAGAGAAGATAACTCTGCAATACGCAAAGACGGAATAAAATTCGGCTTGCCTATTCTAACACGTCTCCCGGGAAATGCGTGATGATGAAAACAGTAATGACGTTGCATAGTCAGTCTTATTTAAAATGTTCTATTTCTTTGTACGATGTAAATATATAGACGTCCTTCATTATGCTCATTAGTGTTACTCGCTGACTGATATGTTGCCTTTACCCCAGTTTTCTCTTTTAGAACGGTAATTAACTTGGATATACATGTAGCCCTTTTTTACATAGTGGGTGTAGTAAAGAAGACGACGTGTTATCCCCTCATGGTACAACTTGTCTTATTGTACATTTCAGGAGTCTCCTTGCAAACATTGCCTTTATTCGTATTTTGCCGTCGTACAATTCATTGATTTTTAGTTCAAATTGTGGTTTTGCGAACATTTGCGTTCTTTTGCATTCTTAGTTTAGTTTTGATTTGAAATCAGTTTCCGGTTACAATTATTGTTATTAGAACTTAAATTGGTATTTATTTCTTCAGGTAGTTCCCAAACAGTACAGAACCTTGTGACAAATCCTGCTTGTGTGTGTCCTTCATCTACTGCAACGACCACGCTCCGTCCAGTTCCACCCACTCCCGGCAATATGGCTAGGGTTTTAGAACAACTGAACCGGGAATTACGCCGGAACCCGAAAGATCTCTCCAAGTATAAGCGCAAACTCGGGAGTGCGCCCGATAGTCGGACGAGCAGTAAGCTCATTGGCTGTTTATTAGCGGTCGTTATTGTAGTCATCCTGGCTGGATTTTTATTCATGGATTTGGAGAAATTATATCGATTTGTTCGTGAAAGGCAGGATGAAGAAAGAAACGTTGAATAGTGGAATTTGAACAACCCTATTTAATAAGGATATTTTTAACAGGTAGGGCATCATTACCAAATAGAAATATTGAGCGAAAACAGCTGATGATCAATTTTCATCTCACCACATTCAAAGTGGCTTAGTTTTGATAGAACTGAACTATTTTGATAGATACGCATTAATGCAAAACTGAGTCATCTGTATTTATATGTTACGATTATAGCTATTTGCATCATATTCGATGTTTTTAATAATGGACAAGGTATGTTACTGCTAAGTGTTTGTGACCTACATGTATTTGGATAATTTCTCTTCTGTAGAGAAATAAAAATAGAAAAGGGGAAATGTGCCGGGTAAATTAACAAATAAACTACATATTACTGGTCAAAATTGTTAAGTAAATGTTTCACATATTTTATAACACAGATTACACGTTTCACATATTTTATAACACAGATTACACGTTTCACATATTTCTATAACATAAAGAACGTGTATGCCATGTAGTTAACTGCTTTCAAGTTTGTAAAACAGCATGACGTTCCAAATGAACGCGCTTTTAGCAAGATGGCTTCCTTTTTCACACTTTATATATAGAACGCACAAAGCCCATTTTGATCATTCCGTTAGTCAGGGTTTCATTCATGTTGGGTAATGCAGCAGTCATTGTTGATACCGGGTATGACTGTACGATTGCCCGAGTAGAAATATTTAAAATGAAACGTCAAGCAATATGTTTTTAATTTCATGGAATATGCATTTTCATGTCTTTATTTCTGTAAAATACATGTACATTGATCGATATATACACGTACATTAAAGCAAACATGACTTCCCCTTGCAATTTACACTATTTGATGGATAAAGATTTTCTTCGTTTCTCAACTTTGAAAGTATTATACCCCGCTTTCACCGAAATGGGGGATATTAATTTGGGTTTGTCCGTCTGTCTGTCTGTCGGTCACGCTTCGTTTCCGTGCACTAACTGCAACAAATGTTAAGCGATTTTCTTCCAAATTCGTAACAGAGTGAAATGCTAGAAGGGCTCGGCAAAATTTGAGGACCATTTTCAGCGGACCCCATTTGGCGGAGTTATGGCCCATTGAATAACGAAAAACGTCATGATCTGCCGTTTCCGTGCAATTACTGCAACAAATGTTAACCGATTTTCTTCAAACTTGGTTACATGGTTAAATGCATTAAGGGCTCAGCCAAGTTCGATGACCACTTTCAGCGGATTTTATTTAGCGGAGTTATGGCCCCTTGAATAACGAAAAACGTCATTATCTGCCGTTTCTGTTCATTAACTCTCGCAAATATTTATACTATGCTTTCTTCAATCAGTTTAATTTACTCCGTAATACCTACATGTTCAAAAAAAAGTCTAACTTCTGTATAAGGCTTTTCTTCTTCTTCTAGTTTCAAGCTATACATTATGTCTCAACAGCACGATACTCACATGTTTAAACCTAACCTCAATAATGTTTACCTGCAATATTCCCTGCAAGCAGGGGATATAAATTCCACGCATTTGCTTGTTAATTAAATAGCCAGCAACACCAAGTGACCGCCTATATGTTATCAGTATGACGTCATAAATATATAACCGCACCATCGGAATTCCATTATATCATGTTTTGTATTGTTTATATAAGGGAATGCAAGGCAAATTCAAATTGTATCATGTATATATTTATTTATTGAATTCAAAACCATGTGTTCAAAATGTCTGTAAGATATGTATTTGTTATTTGTGTACAGTGTAACTGATTCGGCATTCTACACAAAATTTCATTCCCTTTTTTTATTTAATTAAACTTAATAAAATATGAAAACAAAAGGAAACCTTTATGAGTTCTATTGTCAGCATCATCAATCTAGAAAAAACAAATTTGGAATTCATGCACAAGGGGGGATACAATACAAAGACAACATCAAAACGTTTCTAAAAGATGCATGTTTCACAAACCTAGGTGATTAGACTTGTACAATTTGATAATAGATACGGTATACGTGGATGAATTACTTTGCACCATACAGCTGGTTTTGTTTTATTTTGTTTAACGTCATATTAACACCTACAGAAGATCAATTAAGGACGTGTCTTTTTGTGTAATATAGACTCTTTGAACAGCTGCATGCCTCTGTTCCGAACTCTTTTAAATTTTAACAGGTTATATAGCAAATGGGGATATATTCTTTAATGTGTGCTTGATACATCAATGGTCAATTTGAAGATGGCATCTTCCACATTATAGCCAACTCTTTTGTTCTGCTGGTGCTTGGGTTTAACGTTTATTTTAGATGAAAATACAATTTAAAATCAAGGTGAGATTGACAAATGCTTTATTTCGTTACTTCACATTGTGGACGTATATAAATTATGAATCTGGGTTAGGAGCGTCCGTCGCTACAAAAATAAAATACAGTTATAATAATACAAATAAGGGCTGCATCTAAATAATAAAAGGGGACGAAACAACACACTTGCACACACCAATATAATATTAATAATAACATACAACATTTAAATAGGGCCCTATATAATTTGTAAAATTACTCTAAAGCGCTTTACAACATATGGACAATAGTATTAGTTACAATTGTGAAACAAAAACACAGGCTTACAATTACTTTTATACATTTACGCAAGCAATTAATCGTCGCAATGCGCACATAAATGAACAAATATGCAAAGAGCCTAAAATGCAGACGTGAAGAGGTTAGTTTTGGTGTCCCTCTTGAATTTGACCAGGGTATTTGACTTTCTTATAGCAGATGATAAGCTATTCTACAACGTGGTCGAAAACCTCTTAAACATCGGTTTCCAAAGGTCACAGTGCGGGATTTGGGACACACAGCAATAATTCTGACTCCGACCGCATTGATCGTGACGAATATAACAGGTTGAGCATATATCGTGTACAAGCGTATACGATGGGTTTGACATTGCAATGTGTAATTAAATAAGTTTCAATATTTAAGGAGGGGTATTTCCTAAATATACATGGAAACATTACATTGGTCTCCCATGCATAGCATTCTATGGCTGTAAATAATATACTTTTTATTATTAAATTTGGTCTTTAGAAAATTTGATGAACACCTATATACAACACGAAACAATTGATTACAATAATCTATACTCAAAATGAGAAGCAACCCATGTTTATTTACTCCCAGTCATAAAGCTTGAAACATTTTTATTCTTTATGCAATCCAAGGAATTTAGTACATGATAACCATACACACCTCTTCTAAGAATATTGCAGAGGGAGAACCTGTCCGTTCAAGTCTCACAAAGATGAGTAATTTATCAATGAACCACCCGATCAGATATATAATGTGCACAACATGGTCCAGCATTATTTGCCTCGTTTCTGACTTTCATCTGTCGAGTGATGCAGTTGTACTGATTGTGGTTTACATTAACTGTGACTCTGTGACAGTACTTACGCATTTCATTTATTTATATTTTTCTTGAAATTGATCCTTATACCAGAGACGCAATATATACACGTACAACGTATCTGCTGATACATTTCCCCGTTATCTCGCCTGAGGACATTGTTGTTAAATTGAAAATTGGAAGACACATAATCTACACCAATTGCAATCTACATACTGACTTAAGGTACCCACTTGCCTACCTGCTGACATCCCTTTGATGTCATACCTGTACACAGGTATACAGGTGTGTCTTTGGCCTCCTGCTGTCAGCATTGGACACATGTGTTTAGTGTTATTTACATGTACACAAATTTCACACCTAAGTATGCTAAGGGAGTGGATTGAGATGTTTTGCATTATTTAACCAATATGTTAAAATATAACTTGTGTATGCTGTACATGTATAGGGAGAAACAAAAATTGTGAATCTCGTTCAATTTTATCTTCGAGATAACTGTAATGACGAAATTAGATTATATATATTGTTGTTTATTTGAATTGTCGACCTAACATTAGGAAGACACAATGTCGTCGATTTGTCACTACTAAACATATTGACATTTAAAAACAGCAGACACCAGTTATTTTGTAAATATTTAGAGGTACCATAGTTTATAACTTTGCAATATGAATATGCCGGCACAGAAACTAGTCACGACGAAGTAGTGCTGTTCAATGACGACATGATTGGATAAGTTCTAACCGTAGAGCAGAGACATTTCAAGTATATACGTCTCTGTGTAGTGTAAAGGAAATTATTGCAAACTGACTTCCTAGCTAAAATTAAGAAATATCTTTGATCGACAACATTGAGACTACTTCTGTTTAATTTCCCTCAAACTCGTTCACTCGAGATTTTTTTTTATCAGTGCTCAGAATCAGGACATGCAATGTTACCAGTCTATGTTACCCTATTCAGAATCGTCAGTTTGATTTCAATTAAACTCACTGTCTGGAAATTCTTGCAAATTTTATATGACTGAAAAAATCTACATAATGTTATTTTCAGCAAAATCTGATTCCTCAAAACTAAAAAATATAATAATTCGCAATCTGACACTGTATGACAATGGCTATTCTCGTTATTGCCTATTCCTTCGATGGTGACCGCTACAGGCGTTGAACCTGTGACGTCACAGCCGATAGGGGCCAATTCAACGCGAGTTACGATTATGCTCATCAGTAGAAGAAGGACAGGTGAAAATCGTGTTTCGTTCAGGGTACACTTTAAGTTGGTGATAATAACAGTTATGCGGATTGTTTGGTTTAGTTTGGTTTAGTATTGTTTAACGTCCTTTCAACAGCTATGGTCATTTAAGGACGGTATGAGGATTGTAAATATATGTTTTACTTTCAAGCACGCCGGCTGACTATTCCAATATGAGAAGTGCTTCGAATCTCGAAAAAAAAAATCTTTTTAAATTGTTTTTTTTGGACGAACACAAAGTATTTAGTTTCTAAACTTTGTAAAATTTAAACTCATTCTAGCTAGTCATTCTCGTCACGTAAAGTCAGTTTGGAAGCGAGCTTATTTAACCAAACAAATCTACAAACAACAAATCAGCACTATTTTTTTCAAAAATATGCATAAATACACCAAATCACATTTCCTGAATAACGATGAAACGGTTCCTATCCTTGTAATTTCTCTTACACGACCACCACTGCCTGCGATAAATTACATTAAGTACATTAAAAGAATATGAATATATTTCTTTATTGATTGTGTAATAAATGTTTTACCATTTCAACGATATTTCTTATATGAAAACCCCCCATCATAGCAGGTTTTGTCTGTTTGTGTTGGGTTTAACGTCCTCACCATAGCCATGGTTATATGAGGAGGTATTACTGTTCTCGGTTTCGTCATTTATATCGGCCCCTCCCACAACAATTCATCCCTGTAGGAAATTTCGTGATGGTTCAGACACACTGACCCGTTAATACCCATCCGTATGTTTTAGTCATAGACTCTGGGAAAGGATATAACCTATATGCTTAAAGGTGACGACATGTGCCAGCCCTGTAAGATGAGACTAAGTAATACCACTTACGTTGTGCATCAGAATGGTGGAAGGGATTGAGGAGGTCACCGATATGAGAGAGCTGATTTTGCAAATCTGTCAATAGATTACTGAAAGACAAAAACAGATATATACAATCGTTTGTCCATAACCAGGTTTTGTCTGCATTATCACAATAGCCTGTCAGGATTTGTTACTGATTATTTATCTCCAGTTATGCCTGTTTGCGTATATCGATATTGATTAATGACCAAGTTTAGAACGTTTTAATTGCATCATGAGGCTGTGCATGTTCAATTCAAACTATCGTCTGAATACTTATCTTTTCAAATCCCAGAAAAAAAAATCAAAACATTAAACATGATATACAATATTTGTTTGTATTTCCGTTCAATTGCAATTAATGAAAAAAAATATTGTTTTTGTCATGTATTTTTCCTTTACATGTTAGACACCTGGAATTCATTTCTTTTAAACATCAACATCATCAAAAATCACTCACCGAGCATTCCTTTGTTCTGCAGTAATCCCGGAACCCGGAAGCGCTGGAAATGTATCTTAGTTTTAATAAATGAGTTTCATTTTCAGAAGTTTCTGTCTATAATGGACGCATATATTGATATTAAAGAATAATAAAAGTTTTTTTGTTAGACTTAAAGCTGATTTGTCAATGTTGAGTACGCAGAGCCTCGCCTGTCCGCTCCAATGGAAATGTTCCTCCACGAACTGTTTGTGAGGGTACATTGATATTGCCGGAACCTTTATTGGCGCCGTTCTGTCCGTTCGTCCGTCTGTCAATACTGGCCTGTTTACATATTTCTCACTTCAGTAATCAATCAAATTTCATAAAATTTCTCGTAAGAATTCATGACATCAATTGCTGTAACCCATTTGAATGTCAAGATAATAAAACTGAAGTCAATGTTACAACTACTGATTATTTACATGATGATCGGAAATTGTAGATAAGGATTGTCTCCAATTCATGTTTGCCTCGTAAGATCCAAACTGTGTCTGCGATCATTTGTCCTCTGGAAACGACATGACCAATGGTCTTCAAATGACATAACACGCACCACCGTGTAAGATGAGACTAAGTAATACCACTTACGTTGTGCATCAGAATGGTGGAAGGGATTGAGGAGGTCACCGAGATGAGTGAGCTGATGTTGCAACTCTGCCAGAAGATCACTGAAAGACAAAAAATTGTACATACAATCGGCCGCCAATAGCCTGGATTTTGTCTACATTATAACCGTAATCATAGAATTTTACAGTTTGAACAAATAGACACTTACTTACACGTCTAGGTAAAACGTAGCTACATGTCCGTGTGCATTAGATAGAAAAACTTGAATCTCCGAATAAAACATATTGTCTGTAAGATTATCTATATAAAACCCAGAAAAAAATGAAAGATTGCTTAGCGTTTCGTTACGGATGTTGCTCAAATGCATGCATTGAATTTGCTCAGCAACGAAAATATTTTGATAATATTGTAAATCACATGTGACCAGCAAGGCGTGAAATTAGCTCATGCATAAGGAGCTATATTATAAAATTTTAATGATATTTAGCCTCAATTTAGCTCCTTGATGTATTTTCATTGTAGCATTCATTCTACCTGTTTATAATTTGATAAGGGATTTCATTATATGAAGGATTTCATTATATGAATATAAAATGTGCGGACGTAAAACTACGATGTTTCGCCTGCTTTTCTATAGTCACGCCTGCAAAATGAGAAATCCGTAAAAATACAGGATGCCACATAACTACAATATTGTGATCGACGGGGGTCATAGTTTCCGAACGATTTAATTATTCAAAGATGACCGCCAAAGTTTCCCATCGCCTCATGCATTTTATAGTTCATCTTGTTTGGCCATATTTGTCACAACGTATTTGGATATCCTTTTCGCACGACACTAAATACAAGATAAATCAGTGAAGTACTCGCACTGACCTGTACGTTATCGATAGTATCTTATTTTAAATAAATGGAATCACGTCATGCGTTNAGTCATAGAATTCAACAGTTTGAACAAATAGCCGCTTACCTACACGTATAACTAAAACACGCATAATGTACGTAGATACATATCTGAGTTCGAACAAAAACTATCGTCTGAATGCTTATCTTTTCAAATCCCAGAAAAAAAAAATCAAAACATGAAACATGATATACAATATTTGTTTGTATTTCCGTTCAATTGCAATTAATGAAAAATAGTATTGCTTTTGTCATGTATTTTTCCTTTACATGTTAGACACCTGGAATTCATTTCTTTTAAACATCAACATCATCAAAAATCACTCACCGAGCATTCCTTTGTTCTGCAGTAATCCCGGAACCCGGAAGCGCTGGAAATGTATCTTAGTTTTAATAAATGAGTTTCATTTTCAGAAGTTTCTGTCTATAATGGACGCATATATTGATATTAAAGAATAATAAAAGTTTTCTTGTTAGACTTAAGCTGATTTGTCAATGTTGAGTACGCAGATCCTCGCCTGTCCGCTCCAATGGAAATGTTCCTCCACGAACTGTTTGTGAGGGTACATTGATATTGCCTGAATCTTTATTGGTGCCGTTCTGTCCGTTCGTCCGTCTGTCAACACTGGCCTGTTCACATCTTTCTCACTTCAGTAATCAATCAAATTTCATAAAATTTCTCGTAAGAATTCATGACATCAATTGCTGTAACCCATTTTAATGTCAAGATAATAAAACTGAAGTCAATGTTACAACTACTGATTATTTACATGATAATCGGAAATTGTAGATAAGGATTGTCTCCAATTCATGTTTGCCTCGTAAGATCCAAACTGTGTCTGCGATCATTTGTCCTCTGGAAACGACATGACCAATTGTCTTCAAATGACATAACACGCACCACCGTGTAAGATGAGACTAAGTAATACCACTTACGTTGTGCATCAGAATGGTGGAAGGGATTGAGGAGGTCACCGATATGAGAGAGCTGATTTTGCAAATCTGTCAATAGATTACTGAAAGACAAAAACATATATATACAATCGTTTGTCCATAACCAGGTTTTGTCTGCATTATCACAATAGCCTGTCAGGATTTGTTACTGATTATTCGACTTAAGCTGCGTTTTTATATTTATCTCCAGTTATGCCTGTTTGCGTATCTCGATATTGATTAATGACCAAGTTTAGAACGTTTTAATTGCATCATGAGGCTGTGCATGTTCAATTCAAACTATCGTCTGAATGCTTATCTTTTCAAATCCCAGAAAAAAAAATCAAAACATTAAACATGATATACAATATTTGTTTGTATTTCCGTTCAATTGCAATTAATGAAAAAAAGTATTGTTTTTGTCATGTATTTTTCCTTTACATGTTAGACACCTGGAATTCATTTCTTTTAAACATCAACATCATCAAAAATCACTCACCGAGCATTCCTTTGTTCTGCAGTAATCCCGGAACCCGGAAGCGCTGGAAATGTATCTTAGTTTTAATAAATGAGTTTCATTTTCAGAAGTTTCTGTCTATAATGGACGCATATATTGATATTAAAGAATAATAAAAGTTTTCTTGTTAGACTTAAGCTGATTTGTCAATGTTGAGTACGCAGATCCTCGCCTGTCCGCTCCAATGGAAATGTTCCTCCACGAACTGTTTGTGAGGGTACATTGATATTGCCGGAACCTTTATTGGCGCCGTTCTGTCCGTTCGTCCGTCTGTCAACACTGGCCTGTTTACATATTTCTCACTTCAGTAATCAATCAAATTTCATAAAATTTCTCGTAAGAATTCATGACATCAATTGCTGTAACCCATTTGAATGTCAAGATAATAAAACTGAAGTCAATGTTACAACTACTGATTATTTACATGATGATCGGAAATTGTAGATAAGGATTGTCTCCAATTCATGTTTGCCTCGTAAGATCCAAACTGTGTCTGCGATCATTTGTCCTTTGGAAACGACATGACCAATTGTCTTCAAATGACATAACACGCACCACCGTGTAAGATGAGACTAAGTAATACCACTTACGTTGTGCATCAGAATGGTGGAAGGGATTGAGGAGGTCACCGATATGAGAGAGCTGATTTTGCAAATCTGTCAATAGATTACTGAAAGACAAAAACAGATATATACAATCGTTTGTCCATAACCAGGTTTTGTCTGCATTATCACAATAGCCTGTCAGGATTTGTTACTGATTATTCAACCTAAGCTGCGTTTTTATATTTATCTCCAGTTATGCCTGTTTGCGTATCTCGATATTGATTAATGACCAAGTTTAGAACGTTTTAATTGCATCATGAGGCTGTGCATGTTCAATTCAAACTATCGTTTGAATGCTTATCTTTTCAAATCCCAGAAAAAAAATCAAAACATTAAACATGATATACAATATTTGTTTGTATTTCCGTTCAATTGCAATTAATGAAAAAAGTATTGTTTTTGTCATGTATTTTTCCTTTACATGTTAGACACCTGGAATTCATTTCTTTTAAACATCAACATCATCAAAAATCACTCACCGAGCATTCCTTTGTTCTGCAGTAATCCCGGAACCCGGAAGCGCTGGAAATGTATCTTAGTTTTAATAAATGAGTTTCATTTTCAGAAGTTTCTGTCTATAATGGACGCATATATTGATATTAAAGAATAATAAAAGTTTTCTTGTTAGACTTAAGCTGATTTGTCAATGTTGAGTACGCAGATCCTCGCCTGTCCGCTCCAATGGAAATGTTCCTCCACGAACTGTTTGTGAGGGTACATTGATATTGCCTGAATCTTTATTGGTGCCGTTCTGTCCGTTCGTCCGTCTGTCAACACTGGCCTGTTCACATCTTTCTCACTTCAGTAATCAATCAAATTTCATAAAATTTCTCGTAAGAATTCATTACATCAATTGCTGTAACCCATTTTAATGTCAAAATAATAAAACTGAAGTCAATGTTACAACTACTGATTATTTAAATGATGATCGGAAATTGAAGATAAGGATTGTCTCCAATTCATGTTTGCTTCGTAAGATCCAAACTGTGTCTGCGATCATTCGTCTTCTGGAAACGACATGACCAATTGTCTTCAAATGACATAACACGCACCACCGTGTAAGATGAGACTAAGTAATACCACTTACGTTGTGCATCAGAATGGTGGAAGGGATTGAGGAGGTCACCGAGATGAGTGAGCTGATGTTGCAACTCTGTCAAAAGATCACTGAAAGACAAAAAACCTGACCACTGTAATTCACTTATTTGCCTGAACTTGGATTTGTTTTTAGATAACATAATAATGAACGCAAATACTATCACTGTTGTGGTTGACTGTCCAAAAGCAATAAACGACTGAACAATTTAAATATTCAAAGATAGCCGCTGAAGATACCGTTTGGCTTAAATTCTTATAGTGTATTTTAATAGGACATTTTTCTTCAAACGTGATGGAATATTTCCCTTAATAAATAAAGTTGAACTATTTCGTTTGTTTAAACTGTTCAAATCTGACCATTAAGAAATTGATAGCAATATTTTAAATACATTTATTAAGCTAGAATTCTTGCGTTTGGCACGTTTGATTAACAGTCCTTGTAACGATAATCATTGTGCTTTATTATGATAGTATTTAAATATGAACAGATTTAAAGTGTTGCAACTAAACAGTGGATACAATTTACCGTAAGTTTCACTTCGACAAATATATATATACATTGTTTATAAAAAACATATTAGAGGGTAACTACATATGACATTTTACTTCATTGAAAGACTTCTAAGAACATTTTTATCTTATCATTTGATTTAACAAGTGAAAACTAATTAGTGTAACAATCCATTTCTATGCAATTATTTTCATTCTGTTTAAATGCAGAAAAATATATTTCATGTTTTACAACCGATTTGTTTGTTATTGAATTTCTTTTAAGCATTTCTTTACGTTTTATCTTTAGTTTGATATATTCCTTTTTGTTAATATCTATTTTAGTGTTGTTTGACCCTAAATAACTTAATTGTTAACTTAAGATGTGATACAAAATAAAGCGTAAATGAAATAATCAGTCAAGAATAAATCTTATTTTCTTGTTTCACAACGATTTCAGTCACACAAAAGAATCACTAGGTACATCATAAAACATCAAAAGACATTCTAACATATATCAATTTATCAATCAATATATAGTTTAACCGTTTAACAGGATAATTTTTAACTAATTATTATAATTTTAATGATAACTCTATTTTCAATTCGCGTCGGAATTGTGTAAACTAATAAATAAATACGATTATGTTTATCATCGCTATGAACAAAAACCATCATTAGATTTTAACATTCTTTCCTTTTTGACATTAGTAACACTCACGCAGCATTCCTTCTCTCTGTAGCGGCTTGCATGTTGGCTGAAAAAGTATGTTTTGTTTTAAATAAATGAATTTCCATTTCAAAAGTTTCTTTCTATATTTGATGCATAATTATGCTGAATACGTAATGTTCTGTCTGCTTGAATATTTTTTTAAATGTTGTTTGTGCAAAAGCTGCATGACCTCTGCAGTAGATATTTACCTCCACTCACAACGAGTGTACTCTGAAACTGAAAGTATCAACATTGGCACGTCTGCATCTGCCCGACTTCAGTATTCAAACAAATGTCATGAAATACCATCCCATTTGGTCAGACCTCAACTTCAGGAATCTTGTTTTAAGTCAATGCTATTCGTTTGAAGGCAATTACACAGCAACAACATTGTTCGTGATTATCTGTAATAGTATATTTAGACTGTCCGCAAGTACATAACTTAAGTCTCCAAAATTTCAAGAAATTCAAGGTTATACATACGTCAATATCACAGAAACAGTTTTTATACTGATATAAGTTGAAAATGATAAAAGTAGAATATTTGTCTTTTTCTTTTCCTGAAATTCCGATCTTTGGAGGGTAAAATAACCGAAAACAATTTATGAAATATCCACATAAAAATCTTTTCAGCGAGTCAGAAGTCATTACCCGGGCAATGAATTCCACGTTTGTTTTCAACCTGACTTTGACATTTAGAATATAAATCCAATAATGGTATGTGACACACCGCCTTGCTGTCCTCCAAATATCCCTAAAATGTCTTTCAGTTGTTTCCAGTTTGTCAGAAGTTATGGCCTGGACAACAGCGGACGTACAATTACGTACAAAAGGTGGTGTTGTTTTGCTTCCCGTATTTTGGTCTGTTGTTTTACCATTGAAATTTTGTTCAACGTTGTGGAAAAGACAATTTTAACCATTCGGTAACTACAAATACCATGGAATGGTCGTGTCTGTAGCACACAAGAGAAATGTTAAGTTGAAAAATTATTACTACTTTGGAAATTTGTTTCAACTAGTTGCTTTACCGCTGCGTTTACAAGAAAATAAAGGTATAAGTATCTAAGAACTGTGACTCAACTTGTGAGGCTGGGTATGAAATAAATAAGACTTACTGCCCTGTAGAGCCTGGCTAAGGAGAGTTGCTCCCTGCTGAGTGGCTGTTTCCGCAAGTCCATGAAACGTGTTCTGCAAGACGTTACCAAGGTTTGTGAAAGTCGCCGACAACTGTTGTCCGAGGTTAGAAAGAACGTCACTGAAGTATAAAGGTTCATAATGACACATAAATCTTGTTTTTCTAATAATTGACCATTGTTTAATTAAAGAAAAGACAACAAACTAAATATTCACAGGTAAACGTCTGTTAAGCAGCATAACAGATAATAAAAGATCATTGTCAGGGGTCAGGGCTTGGCTTGTATAGACAAATAAAAACGTTAACATTGCATATAATGGAAGTTCTTTGGTTATTTTGGCAGTTTTCTTTCGATATATATGTTAGATTTCTTAAAATAAAAATAAAATCATAAAGATTTCAAAATTAACTCACTGGACATTCCTCTTCTGTGCAGATACTTGTGGTTGTTGAAGATTGTTAGCAAAAGCTGAAAGGGTTAGGAAAAAAATAAGCTTTAGTAATGTATATATGCATATCTTAAATCGAAAAAAGTAGTCGATAAACAACAAAAGTTTCAAGGAGATATCAAGATGTCCAAACAATGATGTCAGTATAGGAACAAATGTAAGCTTATCCTTAACCATGACTGGCACCATCAGGCGTCTCCTACAAAATAAGCAAATACTTAAGGATCCCTGACCCATAACACTGCGTTTTTTCCTATATACAGTAACCTCTCCTTCAATTCCGTTTGTATGTAATAATTTTCGGAAATGATTTATATAAATAAAAGTCACGCTGGGAAAAAAATCCCAGGGATTAGTTACAGTTTTTGGCAGCGGTACGGGGAAACGTATATACCGGCGATCAATATAGCACGAGAAGTGATTTGTTTTGGAAGCAAGTAATCATTCGCTTGATGATCTGACCAGCCATTTACTGTCAAACATCGTTTGATCGAATGCGCGGATTTTCAGCAAATGCGCGACAAAATTCTACAATGAAACAGTAATGAAACATAAGGTTTACCGTTTTTGTGGTATTTATTTAATATTAACATTCTATTAATCTGTACAAATATATATATAAATATATCATATCTAAAAAAAAAAAAAAATCTTTTTCCCTTCCCTACTCGTTCTTTTCGGTAGCGTTTTACTATGTACCTGCCTTTTTATACGCCCGTCAAATTATGGTATGGCGTCGTCCGTCCGTCCGTCCGTCCGTCCGTCATAAAATGTGTTTGTCCGGCAATCTCCTGCTACATTTATGGACCGATCTTTTTGAAACTTGGTATAATCATGATATGAGGGTGTGTCTCCCTTAAAAGAATTTTGATTCGACAACTTTTCCAAAAGTTATTGCCCTTTGTTCATTTCAGTATTTGATTTTTTGTCCGGAGATCTCCTCCTACATTTTTTGACGGATTTCTTTGAAGCTTAGTAGGCGAAATAATCATGATATGTTGTTGTGTTTCCCTGAAAAGAATTTTGATTCGATAATTTTTGCAAACGTTNCATTCTATTGATCTGTACAAGTATATATATAAATATATCATATCTGAAAACAAATTTGTTTTCCCTTCCCTACTCGTTCTTTTCGGTAGCGTTTTACTATGTACCTGCCTTTTTATACGCCCGTCAAATTATGGTATGGCGTCGTCCGTCCGTCCGTCCGTCCGTCCGTCATAAAATGTGTTTGTCCGGCAATCTCCTGCTACATTTATGGACCGATCTTTTTGAAACTTGGTATAATCATGATATGAGGGTGTGTCTCCCTTAAAAGAATTTTGATTCGACAACTTTTCCAAAAGTTATTGCCCTTTGTTCATTTCAGTATTTGATTTTTTGTCCGGAGATCTCCTCCTACATTTTTTGACGGATTTCTTTGAAGCTTAGTAGGCGAAATGATCATGATATGTTGTTGTGTTTCCCTGAAAAGAATTTTGATTCGATAATTTTTGCAAACGTTATTTCCCTTTGTTATTTCAGTATTTGATATTTGTCCGGTAATCCCCTCCTACATCTTTTAACGGATCTCTTTGAAACTTGGTATTCATTTAAGAATTGGTTGTCATATTTTTGACATACATTGGTGTGTAACATACATTGGCTTACCTACATGTTAAATATGTAGGTAAGCTAATGTATGTTACACACCAATGCATGTCAAAAATATGACAACCAATACTTATATTTACATTTTATGTTAATCAACTTACAGTTCACGCAGAAAACAAGATACAATATTAATCTGAACACGTTTCAACGTCAGAGTAAATCTGTACAGAGAACAGCCACCAGTTGACAGTGGTACAGTGCAATCTCCAACGTTACAGTTATGACGTCATAAGCGTAGCGACGTCACATTGGCCCAATGTATGTTATACGGAAATAACATACATTGGGCCCAATAGAAACATCTAGGCTCTGTGCAGTGGAAATGTAAATATTATAATCATGATATGAAGTTGTGTCTCCCTTAAACGAATTTTGATTGGACGATATTTTGCAAAAGTTATTGCCCTTTGTTCATTTCAGTATTTATGTTTTTGTCCGGAAATTTTCTCCCCCATTTTTTATAGCATGTCAGCTTACCACTCTTAGAATGATGCAGATCTTATTCTAATGTAAGACAGTATATAACACTATATGGCATTCGACGCGCGTATATTATTCCGCCCTGCGGTACTCTTGTTATAATATTGACTGTTGCCAGGACGTGAAACCCTAAACAAACAATAGTGACAAAACGGGTTCTACCTCATATTCCTCATAAGTCCTTAAAATGGTATTTGTTAGTTCCTGATAAACGTTCTGCACGTCAGGAAATCTAAATAACTGGCAACCCGTTGTCATTATAAAGTTACTGGATGGAATATAATGTTTGGTACTTTCAGTATTTTATGGTATTTCAATGAGGTAGCCATATGAAGCCGACATCAGATCTACGCTATTGTAAGGAGCGAATACATCACTATCCACTTCCTGTACACATACACGTACAAGGTGCAATCACTTGTGTGTATTATGTTCATGTTGTACAGATGGAGTCAGGTTCTTAAATGACCTTAGGTATTCAAAGGACGTGTAACTCTTTATAACCAAACCAAACATGTTAATAAAAACAGCGCCAAATGTGCCCCAACCTCTAAATCAGTTTTCATTATCTTCTGCTAATTACATATTCAACCAAAATCGATTGATTGTCTTCATTTAACACAACCTACTCCGTTTGTTTGGAGACCCTGCGCAGGATTGGGTAAAGAATATACCCGCATTATCCAACTGCATGTCGTAGAAAACGTTTTACACTTTTCAGAATAAGGATTTTTCTTCGGTGTCTTTTACTAAGATGACGCTTCAGAGACGAGAATTGTTCTGCTTTTCCCCAACACTTGTGTTCTTCTCTTTCTGTCGTACCTAATCTTTACTTTCGGTTGTCTTACCATAGGCTCCTGTACTTATATAAACGTAGTTTTGCAAGGACATTGCACCCCATACAAAAACAAATTTGTTTTGGTTACCTCATCCTTTGTTTTCATCTTCATTCATAGATGTTGTGTGGGCGTGAAAAAAATGCATTCCTAGTGTGGAATCATGTCCCATAATCGTAATAGGAAATCATGAAATGACTTGAACTGTTGCAACATTAACATTAAACAGCACGTTTGTGAGAAATAAAACTTACTGTTCGCTCCAGAAGCGACAACCTGTGCCCCACCTTGTAGAGCCTGGGTAAGGAGGTCTGCTCCGTGCTGAGCGGCTGTTTGTGCTAGTCCTTGAAACGTGGTCTGGAAGGCGTGACCTAGGCTTGTGAAAGTCGTCGACAACTGGTCTCCAATGTTTGCGAAAAATTCCCTGAAGTATAGGATATATTTTTGTTTCATTTCACAATGGCATCATTTCAAATTTAGATAGTTTGCAAGTAAAAAATATTCGAGATGCAAGCTTTCGGATAAAGCACACCGGAGATGTTTCTTTGATGTACGTTTAGTCGTACCATAAATGTTACATGATTTGTGCCTAGTGTTGAAGTTTTATTTTATCGAGAGTATTGAAAAACCAGGTAAGCCAGCACTAGCGTCCGTACCTAGTATTTTAAAACACAAACGGTATTTTGTATTTATCATGTATTCTAGTATTGTCATAGAAATGCACCCCTGCAGGTCGGGGACCGAGAAAAGAATATACCTGCTGTTAACCACTGCATGTATCGTAAGAGTCGACTAATGAGGGAACCCCTTGCAGAATTTGGTATTTGCTTTAGTGCCATCTACATGGGGACACGAAAGCGACCAAAATAAATCTTCTGTACCAATTGCAATAGTTGGGATCTTCATATTTTTTTCTACTCCCAACTGCATTTTCTTTTCTAGTGCTTTGCTTGGCAATACCTCATTTTTGGATTAAATGAACGTTCGTCCAGCTGAGGAAGGCAATGAGTTTTGTTCCCAGGCCGCGACATACCAACGTCCTTAAAAATGGAAGTTATTAGTCCCTGCTTAACATTCAGCATTAAGAGGTAATGGCAACAATTGGCTCACCCATTGTCAGTAAAATGTGACCGGGGGAATGCTGTGCTCGATGCCTTTTTCTTAGTATTTTAGTGGGATAGCACTATAAAGTCGGCATCAGATCCGCGCTATCACAAGAAGGCAAGTACACCAACATGTCTTCAGAAAACATACACGCATGTATGCTTACACAACACACATGAAGGCACGTCCTTAAATGACCTAAGCTGTTAATAGGACGTTAAACAAAACAAAACAAAACAATCATAGAAATTGGTAAAAAGAAATATTTAACCGGATAAGATTCAAATTAATTAATGATGGTGCAAATGAAATGCAAAGATAAGCCTCTGACTGATTGACACACTGGATAGCCACGTAATCGTTGGATTTTAAGAAATAACTCTCCTTATATTAACAACTGACGCACTAGATAAGTTATATGACATACGTTTGATCATATTTATTTTTATATTTATGATAACTGCAAAGGAAAATATAATTATTGAACAATGCGTCACTAAGTTTTCTTTACAATAGCCCGTTTCTTGCAAACATTTGTAAGCGCCATTACTAATGAACTGAAGTAGGGGAGTCTGTAGTGTCCCTGATTTTAAACTATGGAGGGAATACCATGTTTATATGATCGACGCGGTCAGAAATGATCTTGTTATTCATAGACAGTCCATTGTCGATATAAAAGTATCTGAACGTGACGTTGATGGTCTTGGCTAGGGCTCTCAGTTCTCATAAACTCAGCTATAAATTCGTCTTATATGAAAACAAAAACAAGTCAGTCAGAAGAGAGATATTGTCAACTAGAAACACCATCAGTCTAAAAACGTCATCCTCAATATAAAGACTAACTTAGTCTTCTGTAAAAGTGAATTGTTGGTTTAAATATCAGCTTACTTGGCCCCGCGTTTTTGAACGTCGACCATATTAGACTGCTGGAGTCCGTGCAAAACGTCTGTAATGAAATAACTGACGTTATTGTAATGATTCATTTAAAATGTCAGAAACAAATTACCTGAAAATATATATTCTATATGGCATATATACTTTTGTACAAGATAGAAGAAACAGATAAAAATATAAAAACATGATAGTAAAAAAGAACTTGGCAGCGACATGCAAAAATAAGGTTTAGTTTAGTTAAAGCAAGACATTAATGTCTTGTCATTTTAATATCTTTTGAACGCTTTCCCTACTAGTGTTTGTATGTAGATGACACTTACTGTAATTTTCTTATAAAATGTACAGTTAAGAAAAAGACGAAAGCCTTACTTGGCATAAATGGTCCTCATTTTTAAGAGCATTGAGACTGTCGTGTTCACTGTGAGGGTATCGGTGTTAGGTTTAACCGCTCAACAGTTTCATTATTTAAATAAAGATTGCAATAATCCATCTGGTAAATAGCACATACTGTTTAGGAGTCCGGCTACCGGCTGGAGTCCTGTTTGGACAACAGACGAAAGAAGCTCGGCACCATGTTGAGGGATACCACCAAATGTCTGATGAAGGGCACTGCCAACATTGGCGATGGAATCCTTTAATGACTCTAGCAAGGCACTGCAATTTTGATAATAATAAGAATAATATACAACATGTATATAGCGCTCTATAGAATTTGTACAATGACCCTTAAGCGGTTTACGACATATGGATAATAGTATAGTATTAGTTATAAATGCTTAACAAAAGAGGCTTACAATAATCAAGAAGATAACAATCTTAATATGCACATAGATGAATGAATAAAGGGTGGTATGCACATTACATCTGTGCAAAGAGTCTAAAATACAGACGTGAAGAGGCAATGTTTTTATGTCCTTCTATAATTTGGCCATGATATTTGACTTTTTAATAGCAGATGGTAAGCTATTCCACAACGTGGCCGAAACCCTCCCAAAGCACCGGTTTCCATAGATCACAGTACGAGATGTTGGGACACACAACAATGATTATGTCTCCGCCCGCATTGATCCTAACAGGGTTTACGGATAGTTGTTATCACAAAAACGAAAAGTCTCATTGACAGTACAGTGTTTATCTTACGTAAGATATCCATATATTTGTAGTATCTTCATCAAAATCAACAGTTGATGACTATGATGAAAAAACCAAGACGTACCTTAAATCCTTTTTACCAAGAGTATGTCCGTTATCTGTGGATGAAAAAAATATTCATATCAAAGGCATGATGCATTGAACGAACGAAATATATTATTCTGGTTGAAAATAAGATGCACGTGTTTTCACATTTACATCTGACGATTTGAAGATTGTTGTTTGTTGTGACTTACAGTAGCCTGGGCCTATGGGCTGTGAGTGATCGACGCTGTGGTAAGCATGCTCTACCAGGTCCATCACGGAATCGTAGTCACTGCTCCTGTGATGGGTAAAGTAAATATTGAGACTTAAGCAAGTATGGAGACTTGCGATGTATGATTGAGTAACTGTGGAACACACTATGGTGTTGTTTTTTGAACAGTTGCATTGATTAAATCACATGGAAATTGGACTGACTGCATAAACAATATATACCATTAATCACATTTTTTAAATGCTTCTTCCCGTTCGTTTATTGTGGTGACAGAATTTGTTAAATTGCCATCGTAGTTTAAGATTAATGAATTCCTTTTGTTGAACGTTTAGTTTTAGTGCTTTTTTTTACCCTAGATGACAAGCTGAACCAATCATTTAACCTTTATGATATGTTTTCGTATTATTCAATTCATTTTGATCCCTGCAGGTTCGGGAACAGAATAGGCCTGCTGTATCCCACTCCGGTCGTAGGAAGCGACTAATGTCAGGCCTCTTCGTACAACCTTTTTGCTTCCTGTTGCCTATCTTGCCAATATTTAACTTTTGGCCCTTTTTGGCGTTTAACGTTCGCCAAAATGGGGAAGACAGTGGGGTGTGTCCCCATGCTAGGACATACCAACGTCTTAATGATCACTCGTCCTTTGACACTGTACAACCAACCAACCAATCATACATTAAGTACTTGTTATCCATTGTTTAACAGTATATAGGATCACTGCAACAACTGGTATTACCAGGTGAAATACTGTGCATGATGGCTAATGCATGGTATTTCAGTCAGGTAATGTAGCACTCTAAAATCGGCATCATATCCGCGCTATCGCACGGAGGCATATACACCACATACCTTGTCACACATACATTCATTAATTACACAATGGAAACACGCTCTTAAATGACATAAGCTGTCAGTAGGTAGTTAAACCTAAACAAAACTACCAAAACCAATAATATTAAACCAACATTTACCACTTACAGTTATGACAACCGATATTTGAATGCAGCAACTAAACCATCCTCAGCACTACGGAGGTTTACGCTAACTTACGATCTCTGCACCCCTGGAATACGTCCAGACAAAATCGAAGCCTCAGTATGCGCGACCTTGTTGATGAGGTAAGACTACAAGTTTGATTCTTTGATGAACATCTAATGAATATCGATGTCGCTTCACTCTAAAATTGATTGGCTTGAAGTTGGGTGATGCTCCGCTGTAATCTTCCGAGGACTGGTATCAGTCTAGCAATTACTATCCCTTCGCAACGAAAGTTCGAGGGGATATAGGATTTCGCCCGTACATGTACGTATGTACGTATGTTAACTCTTTGCCATCGCTCTAGCGACTTCATTCCTCAACGGAATACCATAAAACTTCATACAAATGTTTAGTTGGACAATCCCTTGAACAAGTTTGCGTTTCAGATTACTGCGTGAAAGGTAAAGGCCACTATACCTATTTTTAAACAAATTTGGCATCGCTCTATCGACTTCATTCCTCAACGAAATATCATAAAACTTCATACAAGTGTTTGGTATGGCAATTCTTTTAAAATTAAACACATCACCGTTTTGTGTTTCTATGTTGAAGGTCAAGGTCATTGTTACTGTTTTTAGAAAACAACCTTTGCCATCGCTCTAGCGACTTCATTCCCGTTTGCTTTGCCACAATATGTGAATGGGAGAGGATTTGTAACACGTGGGATGCCTTGTTAAGATTTGTTTAACCAAGACAAACCAAATAGCAAGAAGAGTGCCTTCAATTATGCTATGTCGTAGTTTAGGGGTGCAGGGAGTGTTCTTATGGTAGCTTTGGATTTTCAATACAGTTGTTAAAATACTGACTTACCTTTCGTCCCTTTTGCCCAGATACGATGATCCATCTGGAAATTATCAAGAAGTACATACACGAACTGTATATTACATTTAAATGCATTTGCTGTGAGCTTTAACGTTTATTTTTATAAAAAAAAAATAGGTTGTATATCTTTTAAATTACATGTGCAAAATAAAGTGCGACTTACCATATGGACCTATTGGTTTTGAGTTATCTACGCTGTGGTAAGCATGCTCTACCAGATGCATCACGTAATCGTAGTCACTGCTCCTTTGATGTTAAAAGTATATGTAGAATGTAAGATGCATGATTAGATAATTGCTTGTGGAACAAGCTAAAACACAAAAACATACCATCGTTATTGTAAACATCCAAATTTGTATTTGTTTTACATTTTCGTTTATGGTGTTTGGTGTTATTTCTTTTACCATTTTTGGGGCAATCATTCGCCCATGTGACCTCATATGTCTTGATGGGCCATCCAGGTGAGTTGCATGATACTTAAATACTGAGGTTACATGAAGACTGTGTAAAAAAAATATGGATCGGATCTACTCTTTGGCAACCTTTAACTGCCAACTCATAAAAAAAAATGTAAAAACCAAGGATATCCAATCATATTTTCTAGACAACGAAATGACCAGAGCCGACGAGGTATAATCCACAAACAAATAAGATAGGGCAGAAAGTCGTGATTGGGAACCGGAATGGTGAAAATATAGGTCCGCTGTATCCCCAATGCGTGAGCGTAAGAGGCGACTAAGGTATCTCTTCCCTGCAGAATCGAGGTTGGTTTCATCCTTTTCTTCCATGAAGAGGACATTGAACAAATCAAGAATATACCTGCTGTATGTGTATAGTAAATGGCGACTAATGTGGGCCCCTTGCAGAATTGAAAGTCTAAAGTTTTGGATTAATATTTTGTTTCGGAGAGTTATTTTGTAAACCAAAAGTTATGTCCTTTGAGTTGTCTCAAATCCTGTACATTGTCGTTCCGTTCCATTTTGATTTTATTGCTCAATAGGATGATATCTAGACCTGAGGAATTTAAAACAAAAGCAAAACAACTCGCCATAACGGCATACCGGACATATTGCTTGCGAAATCCATTAATAGAATCATATTGGTAGATAAGAATGAATGTTTTACTTATAAACACAGATTTTGTCTTGCAGTCATAACTTTTGACAGCAATTCGAAGACTATTAGACGATCAAGAATTTTTTTGTTTTTCTTTCAAGGAATTTCTAAGATAGCTGCAAGTATCTTCTAAATATCTCTTAATTTATTTCTGATGATAAAAATAATAGAGGATAACAAAATGCACATGTTTATGGCATTGTTATGTCACACGTCAAAGAGTGATAGAGGAAACAATATTCATAATGTTACTCACTGTATGTTGTAACAGGCCCCGAAAGTGGATGCCCCCTACACAATTGGGGACTACTTTTGTTGCCCTCTACTTTAAGGGACAGAAGTCCTTCGAATGCATTACAAAATTTTGGACCAGTGCATTTTTCATCTATTTTTTTAAGTCTTTTGGTTTTCTAGCGCACTCATTGGCTATAACTTTTAGACTCAATGTTGAACGTTCAGCCACGTTCGGAAGGCAATGGATTCTGTTCTCAGCCGGGTGGAATACTGTGCTGGGTGGTTTTTGTACGTAATTTCAGTGAGGTAGCAATCCAAAGTCGGCATCATTTCTAAGTTATCGAAGGGAAGCAAAATACAGCAACATACACATATTTTTACACATAATGATGCACGTCCTGGAATGTTCTTATCTAATGATATGACGTTATACACAATAAAAACCAAACCAAAGCAAGGTTATACATGACACAAACCTGTTTCCCTGAGCAGGCTCTGAAAAAAATACATACGCTGTTTCCCAGTGCAAAGCGTGAGAGGCGACTGACGTCACAAATCCCCCACCCCAACCCCCGGAATATTTCTAAATTTGTTTGGGATTTAACGTCCTCGCAAGAGTCATAGTCATATATGTGGATGGTCCTGTTAGTTCTGTGTCTTCCGGTAAGGGGACACTTAAGAAATCAAACATGATCTGTTGTCACCATCGCGACACCAAAGATATTGGTTTCCTTTTCCCACTTCCATACTCTGTCTGTTAGCGGCGTTTGTCTCGCCACCTGTTTTCATATAAACTTAACTTTCGCTTGGACTTAAGATCCGGAACAAACAAAAGCGGTACATCATGCGTCATATTTTCACCTACTTTTTCATCGGCACGGCGTTGGCCGCCACTAGACACACCACTACCAGGAACAGATGCATCGTCCTGTAAAAAAACCAATGTATTAATGTCTCCTCTTTTCCCGTTATTTTGTTTAGTCGACAATGTTGCGTTTGTTGTATTTTACTTCATCTTTCCCTTATTTAAATTGAAAAAAATAAATTACAATAATATTTTTTGAGACAGTATGTCACATGTTATGTAGTGTACGAAACGTACAATCCAAGATTGTTTAAGTTTTGTTGCAAAATAATCAGGCATATTTAATCCACTTCGGTGGCTAATTGTAACATTTACACTCCGGTGAACGAGCCTAACTCAAAAAGAAAAAAAATGCAACAGTAATAAGCTAGCAGTTTTATAAAACAAATCTATCTAAATTCTAGCATTTAGTGTACACGAAGTTACGTAAGGAGCTCACGGAAGTTTAGACATAAACACACTTACCTTAGAAGATTTATTTCTAAACAGACGACAAAATTCGAAATGGTACTATATAAGCAGTTGCGCATGTGATCGTCCAATCCCAGTCGGTATGATAAGGCGATTATTGACCTAGACTTTGAACGTACACTATAAACACACGTGTGAGGGGAAGGACATAACGCCATGTGGAATGGCAGTCCCGGATAGTTAGCTTTCCTGGGCTTAAAGACCTGGGCGAGCTAATGCTGTATCTTGGCTTCCCTCTGTCCGTCAACAATTTCTTCATACGACTTCTTCTCCTTAGCAAGTAGTTGGTAGTTGACGAAAGTTGATTGAAAGCATACCCAGGGTCACAAAAAGGTAATTTGGCCAAATTGCTTTTATCGACTTCTTCTCTAGTAACTAAGATGGATATTACCCATTTTGGTTGGACAAAAATCTATGTTCTTGGGGATTAACATTGTACAAAAAGAGTGGCTGAGAGCGGGGCCAAACAAGATAATTTGTCCATCATTCTTAAGGCGTCTTTATCTGTTGAACTAAGGAGAGGATATAAATTCAGAAGTGTACAAATGAAGGGGCTAATCCCCTTGCAGTGGCGGATCCAGAGG